AACCAAAAGTAAAGGAAGCTGTTTCGTCATCAAAAATCAGTTTAGATGATTCACTCCTAACTGTTGACAAAAGAAATTCTAACTTCTTTATAATAGTTCACTTTGGAATACTGCAAAGTTGTCTTCAATTTTTAAGTAGACGCATAGATTGTGGTGACAAGGTCACTGTCAGTTTTGACCAGATGAAAAAGTTGGGACTCGCATAACCTTAAACTAGAACATATATTGTGGTTTTAATTATATATATATATATATACAGGGTGGCCCAGAAGTCACTTTACATTTTAAAAATTAAATAACTTTTTCTTAAATGACTGTATTTAATTAATTCTTTTCTATTACAAAGCTTAGAGTGTGTAAGTTAGTTCTGACTTAGTCACGAAAGATAATGTCTCTTAAATAGCCTCCATTCTCGTCTTCACAAAGTCGAGCTCTTTCTAAGCTATTCTCCATGACACTTCTTAACATCTGAGGTTGTAGGGAAAGAATTTCCTGTCGTATGTTTGCCTTAATTTCTTGAATAGTTCGGGGCTTATTTGCATACACTTTGTCTTTAAGATATCCCCAAAGCCAAAAGTCCGGAGCTGTCAAATCAGGAGAACGTGGAGGCCATTCAAAATCAGAATTAAGAGAGATTATCCGATCCTGAAACATTGCAGTTAACAACTGCATTGTGGCTCTAGCAGTATGTGCAGTTGCTCCATCTTGTTGCCACCAATACCCTGCCATGTTTACTAACTGAGGTTGAACAAAATTCACAAGCATGTCTCGATATTTCTCAGCAGTTACAGTCACAGCATTTTCATTTTCATCTTCAAAGAAGAAGGGCCCAATAACCCTTTCTGATGTTACTCCACACCATGTTGTGACTTTAACCGGGTGCAATGGACTCGCATGAACTTGGCGTGGATTTTCGGAGCCCCAGAATCTGGTATTTTGCTTATTCACATGTCCATTCAAATGGAAATGAGCTTTATCTCCCATGATCAACTTGTGAATAAACTCATTGTCATTTCTTGCAGTTCTCTGAAACCTGACAGCATAATTTAGTCGTTTCTGAAAGTCTGCTGGTTTTAAAGATTGCACTAATTGAACCTTGTAAGGGTACATGTGCAAGTCTCTTTGAATGCGCTGCAGAGAACTCCGTGAGATGCCAAGTTCTTGAGAACGCCTTCGAGTGGATGTGGTTGGGTTCTCTTCAATGCTACGGCTCACAGCTTCAGTATTTTCACGTGTACGTACTGAACAACCTCGTCCACTTCTAGTCCTATCACTTACAGAGCCATGCTCTTGAAAACGCGTCACTAAGTTCCTTATTGCAGGCCTACTAGGGGGATGTCGAACATTAAAATGGCGCATATACGATCTTTGCGTTGCAACAATTGACCGTCCATTTTCAAAGTAAAATTCAATTATCTTCACTCGTTGTTTTGTTGTAAACTTATCCATGCCAAAAATTTCCAAGGATTATATTTTTTAATTCTGAAAAGAGAAAAAAATATATATTAATAGAAAAAAAGTTATTTAATTTTCAAAATGTAAAGTGACTTCTGGGCCACCCTGTATATAAAATTAAAATTAAAAATAAAAATAAAATTAATGTATAACTTTTATAAAAAACTCTTGCTCTTTACACCAGCAAGCGCTTATATTTTTGTTTTTTTTTTATAATATAGTAGTTTTGATATTATACTATCAGACTTGGTCGGGAAGCGGGTGCGATAAATGACCACGGCGCACTCAATAAATGACCACGGAAATAATATTTAGTTACGAAAAACCAGCCAGATTTTTTAGTCGTTTTGAGATCATTTAAATTTATGTATGTTTCCTTAATTAAGTTCATTATTTTATCGTAAATTTTAAAATATTTTGTTTTACTGACATACATGGAAACATACATAAACTCGAATGTTCTCAAACGTACGGAAAAATAAAAAAATTTTTTTGCGAACACAAAAAACCCGCCAAATCTACGAACATCTAATTCTATTGGTTCAAAAAATACTAACGAGTATTCTGTTAAAATATTTTTAAAAATTGTATCAGTGGCGTACCTACAGGGGGGAGGGGGCTCACCGCCTCGGGTGACACCCTAACTAGGAACGCCACTGATTGTATTATTTGAGTTGTGTTATGTTTTTGTTGAGATTTCTAGCATAAATTGTTTTAAGAATATACTATCAAACAAACTAATTTTTTAATTCTCGGAGCCACATCTACAAAGCTATAAATGTTTTAAACTAACATTATTTGTCTACAAAAATGAATGTTTTAAATTTATCTTTTTTAACTTGTCAACGTTTTGTAAATATATTATAAATTTTATTAGTGTATTCTTATTTTATATATAAGGTATGTATTTTTTATGTATGTAATGTATTTTTTATGTATGTAATGTATTTTTTATGTATGTAATGTATTTTTTATGTATGTAATGTAAGTATATTTTATTCAAATGTAATCTTTTAAAGCAATTTGTGCCATTGATTTTGTAAAAAATCCTCCCAAAATAATCCCACGGAAAAAATCCCCCCAGGAAATATCCCCCCAAAAAAGATTTTTTTTTTTTACATAAAAATTTTCAATATGCGGTTATGTTTATTTCTTTATTTATTTTAAATATTTATATAAAATAATTCATTTTTCATCAAAATGTCAAGTTATGCGCTATTCCTCTAAGGTAGCGAATGTAAAACTCTAACCCTGACGAACTGCGAGCTGGTAAAATGTGAACTTTTTTGCGAACCATCGTAGTTAATTTAGCGGTATATTTTAAGGACTTTTAAGCGAAAAAAGTATTTAAAAAAAATAAAAGGAAATTAAGTGAAACTAGACGAAAATTATATTTTTTAATTATTTGATAGACTGCCTGCTCAACTTAAACCCTCAGTCGATGTAGCAGCACTCCGTTGCGAGTCAGGCTATTTGTCAGTCGATGTAGCAGCACTCCGTTGCAAGTTAGGCTATAAGATAGTCGATATAGCAATGCTCCGCGCATGTTTTACAGTTAAAAGAATAAAAATTTTACTTTAAATAAAGCTTTAAAATAGAATATTAGGAAATGGAGAGTTTTTTTTATTATTATTTTTTACCGACAACCGAAATAATAATAATCATCAAAGTTAATACAAATAATTTTAACCACTAATCCATTTTCCTTAGTGTACCCGATAACTGATTCTTTCCCCAAATATAGAAAAGTTTTGAAGTTCTTAGAAATTGGTTTACTAACTTCAATTATTTTTGTTGCAGCCATTCTTACAAACTCTTTATACTTAAACTTAAAGTTACTTTTTTCTGTTTTAAATACTAATTAAAATTATAAACCCTACTCACTAAATATCATCAGCCTTATTGTTAAGCAGTTTCGCTACCTCCTCACATAGTTATTTAAGGTTTTTAGTTAATTTCTATTAGCTAACTGAATTTCTACTGTAACTCAATGATTTAATTATTTTATTTGTTCATCTTACTAAAAAAAATTGTTTCAAATGTAAAAAATTGCTTCCAATTCAAACTACGCGAAGCATAAAACAGATATCGAAAAAACTTTTTTATTTATAAATAAATTATCTAGCGTTAGTTTTATTGGTTAAATCTTGTTGGACTTTTCAGGGCCGGGAACTGCATTATTTTGGTGGCCTTTTTTATGTGCCACAGCGTAAAAATGATTAAAGAAAATACCAAATGGTCTTCTTGACAATTTGGCGGCCCCTAACATTGTGAGTGCCGAGGCTATAGCTCTTCTACTCCCCCTCCCTCTACTTCTCAATCCAGCACTGGATTTAAGACATTAGTATATAGATAAAAATTATATATACTCTTTGATAAATCAAAGAACATTTGTTTCCTTATTAAACAATTATTAATAGTAAGTTAATACTTTATATATAAATATCACTTAATTTTATAAAAAAAATTATAAAAGAGCGACGTTTCAAAGAAATTTCCTCTAATCGTATTTATTTTGCTTAAAATTGTTTTGCGTTAAAAGCTATTTTTCTTTTTTTAACTGTCTCTCATCGGTCCAGTTAATCTTATTGCGCTTTTTTGTTTGTTTTTGAAATGTTCTCAAAACGACTAAAACATCTCGCAACTAAATATTATTTCCGTGGTCAATTATCGAGTGCAATCGCACCCGCTTTCCGACCAAGCCTGTACTATATATAATTTATATTATAATATTAAAACTAGTATGTTATAAAAATAAATAAAATTTAAGCGTTTGCTGGTAAAAAGAGCAAGAGTTTTTAATAGAAGGTATACATTAATTTAATTTTGAATTTTCTGCTTCCAAAAGTATGCGCGATTTTAAATCTATTTTTATATCCATTTATTTTAAGGTGGTCCTATACTAATAAAATCAAAAATTTAAAAATGCATTCATATTTTATGATTTTCATATAAGAAATAGTATTTTATATTTAAAGCACAGTAAAAGAAAAAAAAATTAATTATTTATATTGGTCAAAATTTTGGGTCCATGGACCCTAAATATGGACTACGCGCTGCGATAAACAACCTGTAAACTAATAATGATATAATCATAAAATTTTCACAGCTTTTTAATATCAGATGATTACACTCACCCTGCCAAAATCAAATAATTTAACAAGCTTTTGTAAGAAAACCGGTTTAAGACCTAAAAAAAACCCCGAAAAGGCTTAGAACCTAGACCTTATTTTTAGAACCAGTTAACTAACATGAATTCATTTGGTAAGGTGAATGGGCATATATATAATAAACAACTCTTAAAAGTTTCAACACAATCAGACAAACCAATCTCAAGATATTTATCGCAGCGTGCAAAAAACTCATATATTGAGAAAAACAATAAAGATTATTAATGAATAAAAAAAAAAAAAAAATTTATAAAAAGGTCAAAAAATTATTGAAAAACAAAACGATTTGAGCATTATTAAAAACACAAAAAAAGAAAAATGTGAAAACTCTAATAATTGAAAAAAATTTAACCAAAATAGAATTATTCAATCAATAAAAAAAAGCTTGAATATAAAAAGATAATAAACAATAACTACGTTAAAAAATACAATAACTGCCTTAACATAAATTTAATTTAAAAAGTAGCAAAAAACTAATATCTAAAAAACTCCTGCTTCATATGCACCTTCACTTTCATTTACTATATCTATACCTTTTCTTCTGCACGAAGCAGCTTTCTTCTTTGTTTTATTGTGTCAAGCGACTTTTTTTCCATCATCTTTATTTTTTCTTGGTCTATTTTGGTTCAGTACTGAGGCAAATGTACCTGGTATAACATTTAAATATTTAAATATGTTTAATATACCTTTTGTCTATAGATTTCATAAAATCTACAATTCCAGAAACTTCCATAGATCCAACAGAACCTTCGTGATTATTTAAACAATCATGGGTTTCCAAAAAATTTTCATAAAGTTTTGGATCACTATCTTTTTTTGATTCCCATGATGAACAGGCATTGCATATTTTTGAAAGAACTCAATAGTCAACACATTCCCTGAGTCACTAGCAATAACAGTAACAACACCATTAAGTGAGGAATGACCCCTTTTTTGCCAAGTTCCATCACAGGAAACAACAACATCAGCTATTACATTAATATCAAAATCATTTGGTTGGATATCGTTGTTAAGATATTCAAATTCATTTGCTGCATTTTTCATTTTCACATCAGCTACACTTTGGTATATTATCTTGAATATCATAAAATGCTTTTATGTTCATTGGAGGAAGTAAGTTCATTCATCAACCACAAAATTTCTCCAAACCAGAATGACCTTTTCTTATCTCTCTCATTGCAACAACAGATCTATAATTATTTCAAATGGTGACATTCCTGGACCTTGCTTTTTTATCTCTTTGCTTCAATAAAAAGACCTTTTCCAATCGCACAAAGATGTTGCACAAGAAATGTTTAAAAACACTGCCAAGCCTTTCTTTTTTGATAAATCAGTTGAGATTTTAATTGAATTATTATGACATTGAGGACAATGTCCAATCAAAGTAACGATTGACTTTAAAATGTCTGTGTCAATAAGTATAAAGCATGAAAGCAATTTATTTGAATCATTAATTTTTGCATTACTATTTTTACTGCTATGTAATAACTTTTTTGAAGATGTTGATGTCAAGATTTTTGATTTAGTTGAGTTAGTGATTTTCTGATTGAGAAGTTAAATTAATGCTGATTGTTGATGCTGAGGAAAATTGATTTCCTTTAAAGTATTTTTTTTTTTTGAAAATCCTGTTACCACCTGCTTTCCTTCTTAAATTTTAATCACATTTAATTTTTCCCATATTAAAAACAAGCACAAAGCAAATAAAGTATAACACGAGGCTGATAGTTTTTCAATAAATAATATATGTAAACATTGTAATTGTACTTAAAAGTCATGGCTTATTTAGAAAAATAAACATGAAACAGTTACTGGCACCTGTGCCAAAAACTTATAGTAAATGGCGCAACACTTTAAAACACCTATTTAACCCGTTGCTAAGACCGGCTAAGAAAATTATTTAACTTCACTATGAAACTTGCTATTTTAGAGCATTTTTTTATTTACTCACCATAATGATCTATATATATTTGGAATGTAAAATGTTAGAGCTTCAAGAATAAGCATTTTTTGAAAAATCGATTTTTTTGAGTTTTTTTAGTGTAGGACCACCTTAATTTTCAAATGTGTGATTTATGAAAATGCATGATTTACGAAAGTTTTTTTAACGTCATGCATATTTATATTATTTTTAAATTTTTATTATTATCTATACTGTTACCATATTAAGGTATTGCTTTATAATTTATAATGCTTAGGTTTATTAATTTTTAAAAGTCTTAGATAAGTTTTAATACAAAATTAAGTTTAAACATGATTGAACTTAAAATAGTGTTTAATTAATGCTTTAAAAGTATTCAATTGCGTTTACGCTTTTTTCTATTCAATCCCGGGGTTTCTCGGGAACAAATTTCTTAATCCCGAAATCCCGGGATTGAAAATTTTCGGGATTTTTGCCATCCCTAATTGAGTTTTATAGTGAAAAATATTAATTACAAAAAAATAAATTTTTAAACGTTTTTCGCTTTTAGATTTAAAGTGGTGAAATCGTTCAAATCGAAAAATGTTTGTTGGAAGAAACTGTATTTATGTACAAATAAAAAAACGCTTTTAGAATTTCAAACTATATTTTAAACGCGCAATTTATTAAAAATTTGAAATGAGAAAAGAAGTTATTAAGAAATAATATTTATATAATTATATATTTATATAATTTTTTGTAATTATATATTTTATGATTATATAATATTATTGAGCTATTTGTAAATAATGTTTAGAAGTCCTTATATGTAGATTGTAATGAGAAATTTAAAAATATGTTGTCACCATAAATAGGAAAATATTTGAATTTAACAAATATATGAGAGCGATTTTTACTTTTTAAAAAAAATGATAAAAAAATACATTGCTTTGGAGAATTTTATATCGCTATGTAAAACATTGTTTTTGTAAATTGAATTAGTTTAAACTCGTTTAACACCTAATTTGACAAAAGTGTTGTAGCACTTCCTGGTTAGTTCTTCGTTTTTTTTGTTTTTTTTTTACAGTAATTTAAAGCAGGTACGTTCGGGATTTATTTATTCTGCATTATTTCATATAAAATTTAATGATGGGTTTTCAATATCAGTCCAAAATGCTTGTTTTGATATGGAAACTGTAATACGACCTGCTTTATGCAAGTGAAAAATTTCATTATCACTTTGTGTCATGGTAACCATAGTAAGTTGTTCAAATTGCTTTTGTTTTTTTATATTCCATAAACAATGTTTTGAAATATTTTTAACTTCATCTAAAGAATTATTAACAATTGATGGATCGTATAAATAGGTTTAGGGCTCTGGCAAATTTGTGCGGTCGTCTTCATCAGCTGAATCCGTTTCACTATTTTTCACTAATGCTTGATAACCAGTTTATACATGTAATAACTACTGCTTTTGGTGAAGTTTTAAAAGAGATCCTAAATCTTTTTTATCTTCTTGTGAAAGAGGGTCACCGTGGTGTGTTGTGAATACTTTAAGAATGTAATTGACAAGAGGCTCTAATATATGGTACTTTTGCATTATACTTTGGCCGCTATACTTATATACTCATATACTTCAATGGGACTGGTTTAGCCTTTGTTCTTGTTTTGTTCCAATCGCACAATTTACGTGTGCATGCTGTTTCCTCGTTTAGTTCCAGTTGAACACGAGCTTGTAATTTAAAAAAAGAACATCAAGATGGCTACAGGCTGATCCAAATCCAGCCATACAGGAACAGTTACCGGTCAAAATCCAGCCTTTTTTATCCAGTGCAACCCAAACGCTGTATTGCTCGTGTCTTTGTCCTTGCCGCTGACTTGGCAGTACCAATAAACAACCATAAAAAAAAAAGTAAACAATTGCTTAATAATTTTTTGTACATGCTACATTTACCTTAGTAATAGTAGTCAGTGTTTCTGATTTTAAGATATGTATGCTTCTAAAGACTTATATTCTCTCTGGTGAATGGACTAATATCAATAAGGTAGAGTTGAATATCACCAAGTCACAGTTGTCCAAAATAGGAAATAATTACTTCGGCTTGACCTGAGAATGCCACCTGTCCTGGGTGAATCTACATGGTCCACAGATTCAAAATATATAAATATTGAAATCTAGTTACATCGTCCGAGCGAAAAAAATCACTTTGAATTTTTTACCCTTTTTGCACATGCTTATGAGATAACAGCATTCACAAAATTGTGCATTTTTACAGCATACAAAGTTAGCTTAACAGAAAACAACGGGTACTGATGATAGATATTTACTTTTTCAAACTATATTTTGTAAATTATAAGTTTATAAAAATATATTAACACAGAACCTGCAATGTTTATTCTTTTTGTTATGTTTAGCATCATCTTGTTATAATGATTGTGCCTACCATCTTAATGATCATTAAAACTGAAGAACCCTATTTTGACATCTACAAACGTTTGTTTTTGTTTTGTTTTACTAAAAAAACGGCAAAAATCATTCTAAAATATTAAACCTTAAAATAGAGCCTGTTCTCATTCCAGATGGCTCACTACAGCCAACCATTTTTGTAGATTGTGGGTTTTAATTCGTTTTCTAACAGAAAAAAACCTTGGAAATCTACGTTTAGTAATTAGGTAAAACATTCCTGGTTAGATGGATCTCGGCATATTTTATTCCAATTAAAACAACTAAAATATCAAAAAAAAGGAGTTGATGCAATAAAATGAAAACTGTAAAGAGATCTGCATGGTTTGCAATTGATGAATGCATTATTCAGACTCTTTTGTGTTCCGAAGATGAAAAGGAACAAAAGTTAGGAGTGCAAAAGTTGCTAGAGATTAGAAAAGAAGGAGATAATACTCAGTTCAGAGAGTTTCAAAAAGAATTTGCAAAACCCCATGCATAAATACTGATGCTGATATCATTTCACCAATCTAGTTGAGTGGAAAGATTCAACATACAAACCACTAATTAGCACAAACCACACAACCCATTAAGTTAGAAAATATTTTCACAAACCTATGGTTGTTCCAGATTGGTCATGCCATTCCCAATCCATCATATGTTGCGTTAAGCTTTTTTATACAATTACAAGAATATAATAACTTATTTAAAATTTGTTAATCACGAAACTGTCTTAATTGTTTAACTTAGGTTACAGAAGCTTGTGCAAAAACATATTTCCATGAGAAGCGACTAGGATATATAAGAGCAAAAGAAATCAGTAGGGGTTTTATGAGCACAAACAATGTGATATATAACTTAGTTAAACTCACGAATTTTACATAAAATTTATAAACTTTTAATTGTTAATTATATGTAAAGTTTAATAATGATATCAGTATTATATATTATAAATGTATTAGTATATAATATACTGTTTGTTATAACAAAAGTTATAAATTATATGTTTATTTTTGTTGACTTTTTAACAAAATATGATATTTTCATGAAGTTCAACATAGTTTATATTGAGTTTGTCAAAAAATGGAATTTTTTTTTTGTTTGTTTATACTTTTTCTTTTTAATTATTCATATTTTAGTCATTTTTTTATTGAAAACTAAGCGTTTCCTCCAACAAGACATTTTTATTTATTTTTTCAGATTCAGACTTCTTATAAAATTCCCCACAAAAATGAACTTCCCTTACTTTTCAAGTTTGATAAAAACACTTTACCGTAACATTCTTTGTCTAAAATATGAAAAAAGTACCTGATTTTTGTTAAAACACCCTTTACAAAAACTCCTTTTCTGTATTTATTTTTATGAAAAAAAAACTCTTCACCAAAAGTAACCTTGCAGTTTTTGAAATTGAAGAAGAAAAAAAAAATCGACACACCCTAATTCTTTAATAACTTTATTCATATCCTAATATTATTAGGATTGCGCTATTTTCAACGCAAAATTAGTATTGTTTCTGAATATTATGAATTCTTATTATCTTCTATTTTGCCAATTACGTACGTTACTCACAACACTTAAAGTTTACGAAGCAAAATAGAATATCAATTATATAATTGGTTACAATATATTATCAGTTAAAACTGAGTTCTTTAAGTTTTCATTTAATTAGAATCCTAAGATTTTGTTTTAGAAGTATTTAAACCTATACTGTTCGATTAAAATGGTTTGCGAAATTAAAAAATATTTTTCCGGAGTCTGTTTAAAAAAATGCTTGTCAAATTTAACTATTAATCCCAAAAATATATTTGATTCTTTTTTTTGCAAGGTAAAATTATTTTGCTCCACCATGATTAAGGTGGTAGACTGCTAAAAAAATTATTTTTGTGTTTTACAATATTTCAATAAATTTTTTTACTTCAAACATGATAAATTCATTAGAAAACTTATAATTTTTTTATACATATATATATTTAGGGAAAAAACAGGTATTTTTAGGTCAAAAACAGGCTAAAATCTTGGCAAAGATACCTCAAAAAGTATAATTTATTAAGTTCTAATTTTTTGTATTTTTATTCGTTTTATGTAAAAAAATGTCCTGAAATAAAAATTTTTGATGAAAATTTCTTTATTTTGAAGCATCGTTAGATTTTTCAAAGCGCCCAAATAAAAATTGATTTTCTGATATTAAGAACCAAAATTTTGTTTTTTATATTCTAAATTTATTTTATCTCACGACATAAAGCTTATAATAATGAACCTCTGGAAAAAAATTTGAAGTCAATTGGACTATTACCGCTCCTGCAATCTTTGCCAGAAAATTAGAAGAATAAAACAGAGAAAAATGCATATAAAATTTAAAATATTGAATATACCAACTTATGAAAACAGGTTAAAATCCCCCTTTTTTACATACTCTTAATCATTGTATTTATTATCAAACCCTTTCCTAGTTGCTTTAAGATTTTTTCTTTGTTTTTTAATTTTTTTTTTATTTCTAACCTTAACTAGCCGTTGCTATGAACGTTGCTAGGGAAAACAAAATTACCCTGCTAAAATAAATTTACCCTGCTAAAATCACTTTTATTAGTTCTAAATTTGTTTTTCTCATATGAAGATCTATATGTTTTAAAATTCTAGAACAGTTACTGTTTAAAACAATGCTATTTTTGATACATTGTTTTTTTCTAACTTTTTTAGCAATCTTAAGTGTTTATGACGCGTTTAGGTGTCTATAACGGGTTTAACACGAAGTTAAACCCGTTGTAATTCCTCTTAACAAAAATATAATATTAAAAAATTATAATGCATTGCTTTGATTTTTTTTCTTACATTACTCAAAGAGATATATGTGGAGGGAGAACGAAGTTAAAATGCGTCATTTCTCAAGAAACAGTCTTAGTTGAAACATAATTTTCTATTAAACACCGCGTGTTTATCATAATTTGAAGTTAACCAATCACATTCCACTTTTAACAAAAATTATCCAGTGATGTTATTTCAAAACGTCATAAGCAAATGAAGCATTGCAAATAAAACATGGAAGTTTAAAAAGTTCGTAAACAATATTTAGAGTTAGTTTATTGTTATTTTTTATGTTGTACTTTTGAACGACTGATAATAAATTTCTAGATTAGAACTGAGTTATTAAATGTCTAGGTACCTCTATACAGGTAAAGATGCCTCTATACAGGTACTCTATACCTAAAAAGGTACCTCTATACAGAGGCGTAGCCAGGGTTAAAGCAAATGTTTTTTAAAAAGGCGTCTGGGGGCTAGCAGGTCCCCAAGAAGCGGGGATATGGTGGGGACGCCTTAGAAATTTTTCCCTGAATGTTGGCAACATCCACACAGTGGTTAGAAATGCTTGGAAATGCTAAATATTTCAAAAATACTAAATTTTAAAAACAAACTTAATTTTTATGACTTAATAATTTTCAAACCTTCAAGAAAGCATACTTGAAATAATTTATTTCTACTGCACTTAATGCCACCAGCTCCAAATTTATTCTATTTATATCTATTTGAAAAAACTTGCAAAAAACTTTTAAAAAAATTACATTTGCGATTAAAGGAGCCAGGGTAGAAATTCAATTTAAAAAACTGAAAAATATCAAAATATTTTTACTGTTTGTAGCTAAATTTTTTAATATGTTGATTCCGATTTTACAAATTTGTGACTCGGCCTGTTTTGTATTAAGTCTCGAATAGCTGAAGGTGGGATGCTTTCATTACAGAATAAGCGAGGGTTTGTTAGGTGGTTTACTTAAAATTTATAAATGGGTTTTACAAAAGTAGTATGATCTGTGACTAAGTCGCTATCATCACCTTTACGTTGTGGTGGTATATCCGCACGATCCGTGAATGAGTCACTTTTTTCAGCATTACGTACGATAAAATTTGTTGGTGTTTATATAGGTTTAAAATACATTTGAACACTGCCATAGTCAAAAACTATTACTCCCAATTACTTAATTCATTTAAAAATGACAAAAAACACACGTCGCAAATAATGAATGAAATTATTGGAAAACAAAAATCATGCTCAGGTTTTTTGCCGCAAATGGTTAGAGACGATAGCAAAAGTTTATATGAACCAAGAACTATAGCTAAAGATTTTAACAAATTTTTTATCGATATAGGTCCAACACTTTCCAAAAAAATCCCCAAGACCAAACTTTTATTTACTGATTTTCTAGTACCCATTGATAATTGCATTGGTTCAGTTGAGTTGTCTTTTGAATTATTGTTTGAAGAGTTTGAAAGAGCCTTCAAAACATTAAAAAAATAATAAAGTAATTGGAGCAGATCAAATAAATGGAAACGTTATTATAGATTGTTTTGAACAGCTAAAAGTTGTTCTTTTTAAAGTTTTTAAAATTACTCCTATTTTTAAAGAAGGGGACAAATTAATTATTAGTAACTATCGCCCTATTTCTGTTTTTTCCACATTTTTAAAAATTTTAGAAAGAGTTATATATAACAGAGTATACAAATAATTTAATGTTAATAAATTACTTTACATTAATCAATTCAGTTTCAAAAAGGATAGCTCAGCTGAACATGCAAATATCCAAATCATTTGAAAAATCATGAAATCTCAAAATCATTTGAAAAATCACAAAATGAAAAGCTTTTGATACGGTTGATCACCAAATTCTAATCTGTAAAATTAAACACTATGAAATAAAAGTTAAAGTTTTAAAATGGTTTGAAAGCTATTTTTCAAATCGTAAACAATTTGTTCCGAGTAATGACGGTTATCACACCATTTGTCTTTCTATAACATGTAGAGTCCCACAAGGCTCAACTCTTGGCCCACTCATTTTCCTAATTTATATTGATGATTTAAATAAAGCCTCTAAACTAACAAGTATTATGATTGCAGATGATACTAACTTTTTTCTTTCTAACAGTGATATCTTTGAACTTTTTAAAACAATGAACAAAAAGCTTATACATGTATCGAGTTGGTTTAAATGTAATAAGTTAACTCTAAATTCTAATAAAACAAAGTGAACCTTATTCCATTCGCTTTCTAAAAAACGGTATTTGCCATTAAACTTACCTAAAATTTTTATTGATCAAAATGAAATAAAAAGGGATTCCGTAACAAAATTTTTAGGTGTTTATCTTGATGAAAACATCACTTGGAATTATCATATCGACTACATAAGCACTAAAATTTCAAAAAACATAGGAGTTTTATATAAAGCACGAATCTACCTCAATAAGAAAATTTTAATCAAACTTTATTATTCATTTATACACAGTTATTTAAATTATGCTAATATCACCTGGGGTAGTACAGAAAAAAGTAAGTTGCAACGTCTTTATCGCCTTCAGAAACATGCAATCCGTTTAATCTGCTTTGCAAATCGCATTTCTTACGCAAAACATTATTTTATTGAATTGAGAATTTTAAATATATACGAGTTAAATATAAATAATGTTTTATGCTTTGTATACATGGGGAAAAATGGCTTGTCTCAATCTGTCTTCAAAGATATTTTTACTCTTTAACCCATCAACAAATACAATTTGAGAAATACTGATTTTTTAAATGAACCTTTTTGTCAAACGAACTTTAATCAATTTTGTATTGCCTATCGGGCACCACACCTTTGGAATAAAATTGTTTTGCCGAATTTCGACTTTGAACTACCCATTACTTTTCTTTTTTTAAAAGTAAATTAAAAACCCTAATTCTTTCATTAGATGACGTATTATTATTAATAATCTGGATTAATAACTTTGCCTTTTCTTATTTACATTTGTAAAAAATTTATTCTTACTTATTTTGTTGATTTTATACTCTTTACTTAACATATTATATTTTGGTACGTATATGTTTATATAAAATATTGGTGAGTAGATCCGCGTAGAAATATAATACTGTTGTTACCTTTGTTAATGCTTGTTTGAACTTATTTAAGGTTCTGACGACAAGATCCTTTGATCTTTTTTCAGATACCTTGTTTTATATTTGTGAAAGTTTATTATTATTATCATTATTTTTTTGGCAATATATAATTGTAATACGACCAACAAATGTAAAATAATTAAAAAAAAGTTTCTGAGAAGAGGGGGTGCTGGGGGAGCGAATGCTCCCCCAGCGCCTCCTCTGCATACGCCTCTGTCTCTATATCTAGAATATAGCAATTTGTTTTTAAATTCAGCAAAAATACTCCGACACAAAATAAAAGCCTGGAGGAATTTAATAAGTGCCCGGCCGAAAGAACATTCTTAAAGAATTTTTTAAAACAACGTAACAAACCTAGAATCAAAACAAACCTAGTTTGAAAACAAACCTAGAATGTAACAAACCTAGAGCTGAACAGGCAAGCAAAAAATGAAATTTAAAAGTAGTAAAGATTGTCTAAAACTTTGATATTTATACCTATAATTGAGGTGTGCAACAATTACTGCTTTTTTTGAAAAAATATAATTTATAAAAAAACAGATTTTTTGTTAATTTCACCACGTAAATTCAGCCCTAGAATTTTATACAAATAAGACATAAACCTTTATAATAGCTTAAATTATTTGTATATTATTTAGGTAAATATTTTAACTAAAACATTGCACAACAATTTTGAATTAAATACTAATATTATAAAAAAGCCTAAAACGGTGTTTTATCAAAACTTTTGTTAAAATGTTGTTTTGTCAAAAATTTTGATTAAAAAAGGACCAAAACAAGAGCAAATGAATGCTTCGAGCACTCTACCTTAAAAAAGAGTAAAAAAATACAAATTGAGCATTCAAAGGACCGGATAGATTTTCATGTCCAATATCGTCCAATATCGTTTTCATGTCCAATATGTTCAATATCGTTTTCATGTCCAATATGTCCAATATCGTTTTCATGTTCAATATGTTCAATATCCAGATTTTCATGTCCAATATGTCCAATATCGTTTATAAAAGTTAACTAACTTTTATAAACGATATTGGACAAGTTATTAAACTTGTTTTTATAAAAAAGTTTCAATAAATAAAATTTTTCTTATTAAGCGATTAAAAAAAAAAGAAAAAGAATTCACTAAATAATGATAATAGAAAAAGGTAGATTTAGATTTTGTACGAGTGAAGCATAACGATTTATTGCGAATAATAAGCAAGTGAAGTGTAACGAATTATCGCGAATGATGAACGACTGCAAAAATAACAGAAAAATATCTTGTTACAGTATTGCTTCTTCGTTTAATTTTCTTACAATGATTTAACAATAACAAAAAAAAAAAAAAAAAGGTAAAATATATACAATCAAATAATTCCAACATTTTCTACTTAAAGCAACATTCCAATGCGTCACTCACTGTTTAATACATTTTTGTTTGACTTTACCATCAGTTCTACACCACTCATTTGATGGCTAACTGGGTAATGTGGATGTGAATTATCAGGAACCTATGCGAATAATAGATAGAATTCTTATTTTATTCGTACTTTTTAAATAAAACAGCCTAGAAATTAATAAAAAAGATCACCTCAAATTCTGCATTGTCATCAAAATGGTCATCTTCATCCGGACTGTCCAAAAATGATATTACAATCCCTAAATATTTTAATCTTGGAAAAAAATTTGCTTACTTGAAAAAGTAGTAAAAGATGGATAGTAAATACGAAAGAGATGATTTTTAAAAACGTTTAATATTGTTAATATAAAGAAATTCAACTATTATCAACTTTGAAGTTAAAACGCAAACAAACGCCTTAAAACGCATCAAAACGCAACAAACGCCTTAAAACACTTAAAAACAAGAAGAAGAACTGTACTGACCAGTGATATAACCTCCACCTAAAGCGAATACAAATGATACCATAATTGCAGCAAACTGGAAACATCCTTGAATAACTTCTCTCCGATCAGTACCATAAATTTTGAACCATCTGAAAAAAATATTTAAGTATTTTAAATTCTTCTTAGATTATTATCGAGCCTTTCTGTTATTTAAAAAAATATTATTATAAAAAATCATCAAGCGATAGTTGACTATATTTTTTAACAACCAATATTTAATATTTCATTTTAAAGCAATATTTAAGTTTAAATTTGCCATTTGGAAACATCTATGGTTATAAATAAATTTAGTACAGGCTATTATTATAATAAATAAAAATTGCACATATTGGCTTTGGGAATCCAAATTCGAAGTATTATATAAATACAAATAAAAAATCCTATGAATTATATATTTTTTTTATTTTTGGATGACAAATAAGATAATAATATTTGTCATCCAAGTTTAAATGATCTAAAACAAGATAAAATTAAGTTAGCAAATCTATTTTTATATTAAGGTTTTATTCATTAAAAATGTCTATTCCTAATAATTAACCTCAGATTTTTTAATATCTTTATGGAAAAAATATTTGAATGTGTTTTTTAAAAGGATAGATTTGCTCAAAACGTTTTGAGCAAATCTATCCTTTTAAAAAACACTGATTTAATTAAAGAGTGAAATCAAAGAACTCGAAAAATGTAAAAAAGAGCAACGAAAATTTCACACGCAATGAAACATTTAACTTATTAAGAATAGTGCAATCATTTAGGTTTAACTTCACTAATTTTAAAACCAAAAACATTTCATATTGAAAAAGGGTTATATAAACTACATTGGCACGGTGAAACATGTGTACTAGCAAGAGGAGGAGACAAATTATTTTCTTAGAGAACTAATAAAAAGTTGACAATTTTTAACAAAAGAATTGTAAGCAAATCGTACCTCAATACTAAATGAAGTAATTAATTCAAAATCTACAAACGAGTTTAAAGAAAACTAGATAAAAAGAAAACAAACTAATAATTTTTTTGAATAATAATAATAATAAATAAACGCACTGCAAAATAAGTTTACAAAAAGATACTTTCAATTTTGAGTTTAAATTATAGTTTTGGTAAATATCTTATATAAATTTAATAAGTTAAGGTATGCAAAATATATTAAGTCGATACCAACCTAAATATGTAAAAATAACTATATATATATATATATATATATATATATATATATATATATATATATATATATATATATATATATATATATATATATATATATATATATATATATATATATATATATATATATATATTGTACTGTATTGTTGTTTTATTGCATCAAGTTAACATACAAAGTCTCTTGCTTGTTTAAGAGTGATCAATATAATGTAAATAGTTTACAAAATAGATCAGTAATAATATATATAGTGTTAGATTATTTGAAAAAATACAACATTGTGATGGAACTTGAACTTTTATGCCTTTCGGCATTCATCAGCCATATTTAATTTTTAAAACAAGAAAAAACTGTTAAAAAATACAAAATACAGAAAATAACAGAAAAAACAATAACAAAGCATATATAAAATAAAAAATAAAAAATGATTTTTGCAATAGTAATCTTACTTATACTTTTTCTGATAAAAAAATTTATATTATTCATTTTAAGAAAATTATACTAACAAACGCTATCACCTCAACATACAATAAATTGAATACAAAAATCAAAAAAATAAAAAAGGTAAACGGATATTACAGAATCACAACGTTTTCAATAAAATTGACATTAATACATCTTCAAATTGCTTTATAAAGTTAAAAGATTATAAAGAAAACTTTACAAACAATACAACTGTCTGTTTATTAAACCCTGCTAAAAATGAAATTGGCAGAATTAGTAAAGTTATACTTTCCAATATAAACTCTGAACTCTTAAACATCCTTCATCTTAACCAGTAATAAAAAAACACAAGAAAATTGGTTCCATTCCATCTTAAACATCTTTTTAAATTTCTTATTTTTGATATTGTTGATCTTACACTTCAATAAAAGAAAATTTTCTTAACAGTGCTATTAATTTTGCTGAGCAGTCTAACTCTTGCCCTACCAGAAATCATAAATCATAATCACGCAAGGTTACTATTATTTAATGATTATTTGGTTTAAAAAATCTTTATTTTATGATTATTTTGGTTATATTTTATGTTTTGAGCATATAAAAGTACTGAAGTATGCGAACTTGTGGGAATTTACCTTTTGTTTTAAATCGCACTATTTTAATAAAAATGATTTTGAATTATACTATGATGATGGTTTAGAAATTTTTAAAAGAATGAGTGATCCCCAAATGGAAAAAATCAAAAAACATTTTCTTGGTATGTTTAAAATAAACGATATCACTATATCAATACAGTGTAACATGAAAGTTATAAATGACCTTGACATCACATTAAATCTCGATGACCATACTATTTAACCATATTCTAAGCTTCAAAATTTTATTAAATTATATTCATGGTGATTCAAACCACCTGCCCAATATTTTAAAATAGCTTCCGCATTCAATTGAGTTATTATTGTTTGCAAATTTGTCAATGATGAAACTTTCCAAAGATCTACTCCTATGTACAATGACGCATTGATAAGGTCCAGTTTTTGTTACAAAGTTTCATACTATCCTAATTTAAGTTTACCTCATACCAAGAACCATAAACATAACATCATTTGTTTTAACCCTCCATTCAGCAAAAATGTTAGCGCTAATGTAGGAAAAAGCTTTTTAACCTTAATCAATAAATCACAAACTCCAAAAATTTTTCCACAGAAACACTATAAAAATAATTTATAGCTGTGTGTCAAATATGAATTCTATTTTAAATGCATACAACCAACAGATTGTTAACAACAGAAAAATTTTACCTAAAACCAACTGCAACTGCCATTCAAAATTAGTTATGTCAACTGTAAAAAATCATTTAACATTCTTAAATACAAAAATGACACTGAACTATCATAAGAACTTTAGAAATTAAAAGATGCAAATTTAAACCCAGTTGCTAAATGGAAAATAATTAAACAGTGCCATGCTTAAAACCCTAGCATAAAATCCTGTAAACTATGCATAAATGAAAAATATTAAATTCTATTCTCCAAAAATCAAAATCTTTTAAATAAAAAAAAGGGAATCTAAGTGCAGGTATCAAAACAAGTTTCTTCCAACCTTAACAAAAGTGTTTAAGCAATTTTCTAAATAAACTTGTAGTCAGAACTTATTCTATTGCTTTGTTATTATTTTTTTATGTATTTTGTATTTTGTAACAGTTTTTTCTTGATTTAAAGATTAAATATGGCTGATGATTGGCTAAAAGCATGAAAACTTTAAGTTAATTTTTCATTTATTCACCACAATTTTGTATTTTTTCAAATAATCTAACATTACACACACAGACACACACACATAATCTTATCCGTTCTTTCACCCTTGACAAAAAAAAAAAAAAAAAAAATACATATCTCGAAAAGCTGATTGACAGAAATTTAGACAAGTTTAATATACATATATATACAATAATATGAATTATATATACAACATTTAAACAAAATTTTAATTATATATACAACCCTTTCACTACTGAATAAAACTATCAAAATTTTCCAAATAAATATGAGTTGCTTTTCTTGATATTTTTATATAAACAGCTTTTTTTATTTTTTTTTTAGCTTTTCTTTTTTTTATATAAACATTTAAAACATACTAATTAATTTTACTTTAAAATTAGATTATTTTTGTCAATGAAAACTCTTATGAAAATGATGAATTTTTTTGCATATTAATGAAAACTCTTATGAAAATGAATAAAAAAGTGTTTTTTTACCCACAAAAAAAATCTGCCATTTTAGGTCCTATCAAACCTAAACTTACTTGATTGCTGATTTCAGTTAGGATTTCATGAGCATAACAAACTCTGCATCTTTTAGTGAAACATTTGTTCTTTTTGCATAAAACAAGACTTATTGAGTGTTAAAAAATGTCTACCAGATAAATATTAAAACATCAATGTCAGCAATCAGCTCACGTTCTTGCTTCAATTAGCAAAAAGATATTAATACTGTAACTATTTCAAAAGTAAATCTTTGACCATTTCAGAAGTTTGACCATGGTTAAATCAGTTGACTTCTGAAATATTTAATGATAATAAATATAAGAAATAATAAGGTTCTTAAAATTTTATTTGGACGGCACCCAAATCAGCGTCCAAATACGCTTGACGCTGTTGTAAACGGTTTATAATATCCCCTGTTTGAGTCATAAGACAAAAACAAGTCTTTGTACCATTTATTGAATTTTCAAAGTTTATGAGACTCCTCCACTTTTTAATCCATGCAATTAAAACTTTTATTCAAGACCAGATGTTGTCCTAATGTTTAAATTCCAAGTTCTTTTTGAACAGCACTAATAATTCATTTACTCTTATGTTCTTTTCAGAGGAATAAACAAATGCACTATATAGAAAAATATAAATATCAGGGGGTAAAGTTTACACAACCAGCTCTCATCATTTTAATTATTTGTCAAATCCTCATAATTATCAACAGCAAACCTTCCCAGAAAAGGCACGCGGTTTTTCGCCTTGTATGTCCACGAAAACGTTTTTTAATTTAGACAACTTGATCATGGCCGTTTGCGCAAGTTTTATTATATGCGTTGCTAAAAAAAGTTTTAAATATAATAACTACATAAGAAATTAAAGTACACCTAAGAAACAATAATAATAGTGCGTTATTTTATTTTTATTTTTTCTTAGTGGTTATTATTATTGGCAACAAAATTCAGTGTCTAAGCAAAAAAAAAAAAAAAAAAAAAAAAAAAAATGGTTTTAAGCATTAAGGATAACTTTCCTATACTTTATGTGTTTTTTCTTTTAAAGATTAAAGAGAAAATATGTATCATCATCTGTTTCTAAAATATATTTGTATGTAACAAGTATATATCAAGGGTTAAATTATACAATCGTGATTTGCAAACTCTGGTAAAATATTTGGTCTTTAAAATTTTAGTTTATGCAAAGCTGTGTACTTTGTTTACATGGAGCAAATTATTAAAAGTTTGCTAGCGAGAAAATTACAAAAAACAAAACAAAAACAATCAACTCACGACTAAAAAAGTAATAACATTTTAGTCACTAACTGCATTATAAAAGTAATAAAACTATAATAGTATTATTACATTTATAAAGCACTTATTACTTTTAAAGTTCATTCTTTGTTCAAACAACATTATTAATTCCAAACATTTATCAAAGTAGATAAGAATCTAGAAAAAATAAAGCGGATATTCTAATATTAATAAAAATTTCAGAAACTTTTACAGATCACTTCAATTAAAATTTGGAATTACTTATGTTGCTTGAACAAAGAATGAATTTTAAAAGTTATAAGTGTGTTATAAAAGTAATAACACTATTATAGTGTTATTACTTTTGTAATGCAGTTAGTGACTAGAGTGTTATTACTTTTGTAATCGTAAGTTTATTGTTTTATTTTTTATTTTTAAAAACAAGGAACACGGTTTTGTATAAACTAAAATTTTGAATACTAGATATTTTTCTAGATTTTGCGTTTCGCATTCGCTTAATTTAACCCTTCTTGTTACATTAAAATTATATAAATATATTTAACAAACACATTGCAATTTATATTTTTGTTATCCTCTTAAAAAAAAAGTTAAGAAAAGGAAAATCTTCTTTTTATTGTAGACTCTAAACTGTTGTGTTTTTTTTTGCTTCGCCTTATCTAATTTTGTAGTTGAATGTAACAACCACTCTAACGAAACAAAAATAAAAACAGTAAACAAATTATTTAAATTATTAATTTGCTTTTATTTTTTTCTATTTTAATCTCTTTTTATTTTATTAGTTTTTGCTTTTTTGTTTTTGAAACTTTTTCAGCATTGATTATTATAAAACTTGCAAACGACTGTGTTCAAGTTGTCTAAAATAAAATACTTGCGTGTAGTCATACAAGAAAAAAACCTGCACGCCTTTCCTGGGAAGGCTTGAACAGTGTCAAATTTTACCTGACTACTTGCATTTTTGAAACCTCTAGAAATTTCTAGAAGGAGAAATGCTAATAAGATAAGGATTTTTTACTGAATTAACAACTTAATCCACTTTCTTATTGCTTCAAAACAATACTTCACAGCACAAGTGCAAAACCTTAATATTAAACTGTTGACATGTACTGTTTTAAGTGTCACCAGGAAACATTGCAATTTTTATTTACTATAGTGTGTCACTGGTAGTGAATGGGTTGAAAGCTTAAATGTAAAAATTTAAACTTTTTTAATTTTTAAAACATACGATGATCCATTATCATTCCCATATGATCCTTTTGAGATTGCACCAGCAGCAATGGATCCTGTTATACCACCAATCCATCCTGGCATTCCATGCAAATTTTGAACACCACATGTGTCATGAACAACTCTTCGATTTAAAAACGGCTAAATAAATATTTTTTTTTACATAGAGTAAAATATTTGTAGCTAAATATACATGGAGAGGCTATTCTAGACCGTTTCCGACAGTGTCAACTGTATTTGGGTGCCGCCTAAATTAAAAATTGAGGACTTTTTTTTGATATTTTTAATGTTTTTTTATGGCAAATATTGTTTTTTTCGCTAAAAAACGTCGGTATTTGGAAATATTTCTGCTAAATTTCGGGTACCGCTGCCCAAATTTTATTCCTAGAATAGCCTCTGCATGGTCACAATAAAATAATTAAATACAACAAGATTGAAAGTAAAATATAAAAGTTATAAGTTAAAATCTTACAGTGATATATGTAAATCCTATAACACTTATGGCACCAGCAAGTATTCCAATTAATATTGCTCCCCAGGGTCTAATCATAAGATCAGCACACGTTCCAATTGCCACTCCACCAGCTATTGTAGCATTTTGTATGTGCACCTTACATAAAAAATAATTTCTAATTAATTTTGTGGATTTTAAAGTAATGATTTCCACCATATCCTAAGTTGCATAATAGATTGGTGTAAGAAAATAATAGTTTTTTAATGCTTTTAAATTTTTTCTGCCTTGAGGTTTGCATAAGTAAGCCAATATAAAACTAACTTAGGTTTAATCATAAACTTTTAACCGTACCATGAATTTATAAATAAATTCATTATAATTTTATTGTAATGAATTTATTTATAAATTTATGGTATAGTTTATGAAAATAATAAAAAAAAAAGTAAAAAAAATAATTTTTTTACCATGGATCTACCTTGAACTATATCTATATTTAAATTTATGAAAAATTTATAAATTTTTCATAAACTTTTTATCAGTAAAAAATCAGTAAAACTACCTATCTTTCAGACGAAAGTGATTTTTAATCATTGTTTACATTAATTTTAATCATTGTTTACATTGTCTATAGCAACACGCATAACAACCACAACTAGTTTTCAATTTTCTTTTTATCTCCTATAAAAATTTTAAATAACCAATATGTGACATTTAAAATTCTATCTTTTAAAATATTCTGTTTTTAAGCGTTTCTATTGTTTTATTTGCTCAATAAAAATCTTTACCTTTATTTAAAAAATAAAAAAATAATCTTTATTTTAATTTCTTTTTGCATTTTCTTCATTGTTTATTTTTTTAAATGTAGTAATCTTAGAACAATGATTAAAATTCGCAAATGTTAAACTTTTACGAGTTGTTTACTTTAAATCTTTAACCAGAATATTTTTTTTATGTATTAAACTTATGTATTAAATCCTAATTTTTGAAATACATGTAACCAATTCTAACATAATACACATATAAAAAAAAAAAAACAAATGTAAAATTATATTTTTAAATAAAGTTTTCTAAGGAAATTAATTTTGACTAGCTAAAATGTCTGTATTGGTTTGGGTAAAATATTTGCCGATATGTCAGTTTCGGTCACAAAAAACAAAAACATGCTACAGCAAACACTTTTTACAACCACCACAGACGTGAATGTGAAGGGGAAAACCCAATCTGATTGTGCAAATCTGAACTGAGTTAAAAACTCTGTGGTGAGCAAAAACATTTAATATTGAAACCAGATGTTTTTTTAACGGAAAAAAATAAGCAGATTTGAGAGCCTAAAATTAGGCTCTCAAATTATGATATGAACACAACTTGTCCCGGCACTAGAGGATCCCTTTAAGCAACATTCTATCATGAAAACAAACAAATTACCATTGATAATGTTCATATTATAAAACTTCTACAAATATGGTTTTAAATTTAAGAGCTTAGTGCTAAATATACATAAGTCACAAAACGTTTTGAAAAAATCTGCTTTGATCAGCCATTTTAAATCTTTATTTTAAAGTTTTTTTAAATCTCTGATCAAAGTAGATTTTTCTCTGATCAAAGTAGATTTGTTAAAACATTTACTTTGTGACTTTAGCACTAAGCTCTTCAATTTTGATAAGCTTTATTTTCCTCTGTTGACAAGAATAATTTTCCAAAAAAAATGCTATATAAAAAGATATAGGAAAGTGCCAATTATATAAAAAATAAATAATCAACTTTATATTAAAATATATAATCAACTAAATTATATAAAAAATAAATAACCAACTAAATTATATTAAAAATATATTATCAACTAAATATATAAAAATATATAAAACTAAATAAATATAAAAATAATCAACTATATTATATAAAAAATAAATAATCAACTAAATTATATAAAAAATAAATCAACTAAATCAGTGGGCAGTAATTAGGTTTCATTTTTGCGTCAAATTTTATATGAAATATGTTTTAATATTCTGAAATATATCTTGAAATATAGTTTAAATATTCTAACAACTCAAAAACTATTGTGAAATTTTAACATCTTTAATTAAAAATATAAGTATTTGTATAACTACAAATCATATATCATCACAAATATACTAACAAAAAATGAAAGTATATCAAAACGAAATGTGACTCACCATATTGTATTTAAACTTTTTATTAACAAGAGAAGACACAACAAAAACACTTATAACGCTTGCTGTCAATGAATAGTATGTGTTCACAATAGCTCTGTTCTGGCGCTCAGGCTCTTCTCCTAACAAACCTCCATTGAAACTGGGCCAATAACACCAAAGAAATAATGTGCCTATAAATGGTATATAATGAACCAACAAGGCTTTTTTTAATTTAATTTAAACCATAGAAGTAAGATTAATTTGCCTCTCCCTCAATGAAAAATGGATAAAAAAATTTAATTTGTTAATGAGTTACTAAAAAATTTAAAACCTACCAATCATTGAAAAGAGGTCAGAATGGTACTCAGAACCTTCTTTTTTTTCTTTATCTTGAGCATTTCTTAATACAGTAGATACAGATAAACCAAAATATGCCCCAAATAAATGCAATGTAATTGAACCACCAGGATCATTAGCAGACAAATATTGAAAAATAACAGCTTGGTTAATAGAAAAAAATACAACTTCAATGATCATCATAACAAGAAGCTGCAAGCGGCTAGCTTTGCCAATTACTGCACCATAAGAAATGAGAATAGCAGTAACTGTATAATCAGCATTAATCATGCTAAAAATAAATTGCTCTTTACAAATTACAATTTAACATTATTCATTTCCAAATAATAACAATTTAAACTTATTTTTATTTTACTTTTTTACAACTTACCTTTTTATGCCAATACGAATATTTCCAACACTATCTCCAGTGAATGGTGTTAGTTGATTTTTCCTATGTGTGTCTTTGCCCATGTTTTGATAAATCCAAGTATATATCAGAGTTGACCACTGAATAGTTATTGCACCAAGAAGTAGATTATATGAAACAGCTCCATAACCATACTTTTTTAAAAATGTCATTAGGAAGCCAAAACCAACAAACATCATAACATGGATATCTTGAAACTCTAAACACAATTTAATTATTTAAATAACTTAATTATTAAACAAATTAAAATGTAATAAACAAAAAAATATTGTATCATATAGTAAAAATATTGTATTATGTAGTAAATATTGTATTATGTAGTAAAAAATTATTGTATAATATAGATAGGAAAAAAAACATCTTATCTAGAATTTGTGTTAAGTAAATATAATATTAAATACATTGAAATATTTCACAACCCAGAGGTAATCCTCTGTCATAGCCCTCCTATGAAAGAATTTGAATTGGTGTATACAACTACAAATTAACTACAAAAATCTACAACAATTCCTAAATATGAGTGCAATCAAATAAAAATCCATCAGAGTTTTGATCAATGAGCCCCTGTAGCAGGAGAAAATAAAAGTAGCAATCAACAACGATGCATTTGACAAAAATTACAAAAATAAAGTTGTTGAAATGAACAGAATTACGCCATCTTAACCCAAATCAAACAGCAACATGACAAAGAGATCAATGGAGTAATCATTAAACCAACCACAACAACCAATCATTCTTATTTTGATAAAGTAAAGCAAAATACTTATGTTAACCTTGCAGCAACTAAAATAAATATTTGAAGTAGAGAGTCGAATAAAGTAGATGTATGTCTTAAAGAGGTTTGAAAATAGAAGTGATAAAGATCTTGTAAAAGAGTTTATTTAAGAAACTGAAGCAAACCATGAAAATATAGTTAACATTACTTGTTACAAAAAAAAAAAAAACAATTTTCCAAGCAATCACCAGAACATGAACTAGGACAACCAAGATCCAATTGGTGTAATACAAGTTGTGTTCAAATCAACAGATGTACAAGACACTCTGGCATAAGGTAACTTTCTCAAGGCATTCAGAAGAGTATATACTTGAGAAAAACATTCAGAAGAGTATATATTTGAGAAGACTGAACAGAGGCAGAAAAAGAAACTTTCAATAAACTATATAACAAAAAGAAGTGAAAGAATAAAGACCTAATAATAGATAACCTGAAAAAACCATTTTGATGGATCATCCACAGGCGGACTAAATTCGTTAAACAAAACCAAACAAGATGAACTAATTGTGAGAATTGATAATGAGATTGCAGAAAAGAAACTGCATTTGCTTTTATCAATTAGTTTGATCAAACATCAGACACTCAACTTTCTGGCTACCAACTCCATAACAAAAACCGAGGAGACAGGAGAAGGTGTAGCCATCTACATAAAATGTATTATCCTAGCTAAAACAAATTTGAATCAACTAAACTTTCCCTTTTTCCATTTTTTAATTTGATATTTTAACATTTTAAAAATCTCTACTAATCCGTCTACATCTAATTCCTCTGGTTTTTTATATGCCATTTTCAAACTTTTTATTAAATTTTTCATAGAAATATTGGTACTAATTTCATAAATATTATTACTAATATTTTAGCATTCTTTATTTATCTATCTACTTATTTATCTCTTTTTATTCAACTATTCTCTACTTCGTACTAAATCTTTGTTGTTGCTGTCATTATTTAATAAACTTTTGTTGCTGCTGTTATTATTTTTGTTTATGAAATTCTCCTTTTATTATAATTGTTATTATTTTGTTACTATTATTATTATTATTACTATTATTGCTATTATTGTTATTATTATTTGTTGTTGTTATTATTGTTCTTATTACAATTATTGCTATTATTGTTATTATCATTTTTATTATTATCTATAAATATTAATAACTTAACGCTTCTACTGCTGCTCACCCTTCGTAAGCGTTTTTACTTGGAGTTTTATGAGCATGCTTGGCCTTTTAGATATTTCTCTTTTTGACCACGCGATGAGGTACTCTGAATCTGTCAATATCTGTTTAATCAGTAATAAGATCAATAACTTTTCTTCATCAACTTAATTAGTAATAAGTAATAATTAGTAATAATTTGAATTTTTTTAATAAAAAGACAATGGTGACTCTAAAAGACAATGCTCTTTTCAAGAGGTCAAACTCTTGATAAAGTTAGTGTTATATATATATATATATATATATATATATATATATATATATATATATATATATATATATATATATATATATATATATCTCCTAAACTCTTGCATCTCACACAGTTACATGTTAAAGAACAAGAAAAAACAATTTTAAATACCTTACCTTTAAAGAAGTTAAAAAAAAATCTGTTTGCTTTTATATAAAAAACCAGTGGTCGTATTCACATCTCTCCGTTAAGCTTTAACGGAGCGTTTGTCTAAAATTTCTTTTTAACTACATTATCAAAAAAATTCTTTAAAAGTGTGATTTTTTAAAATAAAATTGTTTTATTTTAGTATTAGTATTATTTAACCAAATTTAAATAAAGTTTATGCCATTTTTTGACTTCCTTTGTTTTTCCAAGTTGTTAAACATTTATTATACGAGGTATGTCATTAAACAAAAAAAAGGTTGTATTTGTAAAGTTTCTAATTATATATTTTTCTTGATTTATATATTTTTATATAGATTTTTTTTGTAAGTGTGTAAATATCATTTATGTATTTGTAAATATCTTTTCATCTTTTGTAATCATCTTTTGTAAATATCTTGGCTTAGTTTACAGCAAGAGTGTTGATTTTACTATAAGTTTTTTGATATTTTTTTTTTACAATTATTTTTTTGAATTTATATAAAATTTCCCTTCATTTGAATACAAAGCAACTTTTAAGCAAATTTTTAAAACAGTATTAGGGACTTACTGAATAGAAAATGAGCTTGAGCATGAACTAAATATTTGACAATTAAACTTAAAGTAGACTTATTTTATTCACAAAAGATAACCACAGCACCTGAAAAAAACTGAGTTCTGATTTTTTATCTTAAGAGGGGTTATATATATATATATATATATATATATATATATATATATATATATATATATATATATATATAAGATTGAGACTATCAAATCATTTCTTTCTAACTGCTATATTAAATTTATTCCTCAAAAACCAACACTATTCTTTATTTCCAAAAACTTCTGAGATACCTCAAGGTTCTATCCTTGATCTCGTTTTGTTTCTTATCTACATTAACAGTTTTCTAGACAACTTTATATCTAAAGTAGCTCTTTTTGCTGATGACTCAACTTTATACTCATGCAACATGCAGGGACAGAAAGTCTTGACAAAAGGTCTTATATTTTTGATAGCTTAGAACAGGCATATGTGGGGCTCACAGTGGGGCTTACAGTGGTTTGTAAATTTCAACTCCTATAAAGAATTAAGAATAGAGAACAACAAAACTCAGTTACTTACTGCAAACAACTATGAAAATACTGTCAACATTCCTATATTAATAAATGGCAACCCTCTCACTGAGTCCTCTTCTTTACGCCTTCTTGAATTAACATTAACTATTGACCATTCATGTAAACTATATATACAATCGATTGTTAAATTATCATCTGCTATGGTTGCTTATTTTCATTGTGCTAACCATTTTTTTATTCCTGATTCCATTCTCTACTCCTACAAATCTTTTATATGTCCCCTGTATAAAAATACTTTCATCATATTCAGGCTGGTTCTTCTAATGATGCTCTTTCTCTTCTAGACAAGGTCTAAAAATGCATTGTAAACGTAGTTGGACCCACTCTATCTGAGTAGGTCTAACTTTCTAAGTCTCATTCCTTTACTATATCTGTACCTGCATGCTCTAAAAACTTTTATCTTTCCCCACATTTCAACCCTTTGGAACTCTCTCCCATCTTCATGTTTTCCTGACTCATAGAACCTCCAGCATTAAGACTTTAAGACTATTGAAGACTTTTGTCTCTTCTTTTTTTTTTCTAGTAAAGTTCTAGTAATATATATATATATATATATATGTATATATATATATATATATATATATATATATATATACATAAAAATATATAATATATATATATATATATATATATATATATATATATATATATATACATAAATATATATACATAAATATATATAATATATATATATATATACATAAATTTATATAATATATATATATATATATATATATATATATATATATATATATATATATGTATTTATATATATATATATATATATAATATATATATATATATATATATATATATATATATATATATATATATATATATATATATATATATATATATATCCTTATAGTGTAGTCGAATGTAAAAAAAGTCTCTTTCGACTACAATTTTAATTACCTCGTCTCTTAAGCTGTTTTTGATTGTCGTCGAAATGTCAAAGCAATTAAATTAATGCGGAAGTACATTAAATTTTATTGTTTTTTAAAAAATTTTTAAAAAACCGCAATTATAACGACTAGAAAGTTTTTTTTTATTAGTGGTGTTTTTGTTTTTGTTTTATTAAAAAACATTTTTAAAACATGCGTAAATGTTGCTCCATCGACTATCTTATAGCCTGACTCGCAACGGAGTGCTGCTACATCGACTGACAAATAGCCTGACTCGCAACGGAGTGCTGCTACATCGACTGACAAATAGCCTGACTCGCAACGGAGTGCTGCTACAACGACTGACAAATAGCCTGACTTGCAAGGGAGTGCTGCTACATCGACTGAGGGTTTGGTTTGGGCAGGCAGTCTTTCATTAAAAAAAAAAAAAGTCTTTCATTAAAAAAAAAAAAAAATTTAAGTTTTAAAACTTTTTTTGGTCTGGTTTATTAACGCGCTCTTTAAAACTACAGTTTATGGGAAACTCTTTTTAACTACCATGCAAGAGTATATATATATATATATATATATATATATATATATATATATATATATATATATATATATATATATATATATATATATATATATATATATATATATTTATATATACATATATATATATATATATATATATATATATATATATATATATATATATATATATATATATATATATATATATAATATATATATATATACATATATAAATAAAATTATCTAAGAAGTATTTATACAGGACTGCACCAACTTTGTTAACCATTAAGCTTACCAAAATAAAAAGAATTTCAGTAAATTTCAATATTTCTTGTCCTATTTAAATGTGAAATTAAAATATGAATTTTAATATTGCCATTAAAGTTAAATTTTGCAGTTTAAATAAAGATTTTTTAAATATCCCCCCCCCCCCCAAAAAAAAAGAAAAAAACGAACCCCTGCGTTTTTTTTCAAAAAAAAAAGAAAAAAAAACAAAACAAATCAAAAAAACTAATAGGAACCAAAAAAAACAAAAAAACAAAACAGGAAACAAAAAAACTTGTTACACCTCTAGAAATATTCAATGACTAACATAACAAATTGTGAAAACCTAAATAAAACTAAACAATTTAAATAAACTATACTAATTGAGTTGTTAACAACTGGACTACCAGAGAACATAGTAAATGCAAACTCAACTAACATTTTTTAAAGTCAATTTGATGTAGTTTTAAAGCTAACCAGGACACACTGTGTCCCAAATTACATCATCATAGTGGTGTCTGGTGCTGCACCACTTTATTAGAGCTTACAACTAAAACTTTATTTTTTAATGATGATTTTACTTGTTAAATTTCAAATTATGAATAAACAAAATCAAATTCATATTTAAATTTTCTTACCAGCATAATACAACTTGAATATATTTTGACCATTTGAATCATAAACTTCATTGTAACTGTAAAAAACATATCCTCCAAATAAACCAAGAATCAGTATTTGAAAAGCGCCTAACACAATAGGAAATGTAATCCCAGGTAACTTCATTTCATAGCAAGTTAAAGGTTGCCAATATGAAAATTCCTAAATTGATAAAGTCAAAATTACTCACAGTATATGTTTTATTCATTGAAATTAAAAAATTTAAATAAATCAAACCCAATTGTTATCACAACATACAAATTAAAACATAAACAACATTAATAATAACAACATTAACAGCAACAATGTAAAATAATAATAAAAAAATTATATATTCTATTATATATCTTCTCAGAAATTATTTATCTTCTCAGGAAAGGTGTGCGGTCGCAGGTTATATGACTATTCACACAGTATTTTATTTTGACAACATTTGGCTACAACACTGTATGTTTCAAGATAGCACGCTTAAAAAAATATTTTTTTTTTTTTTTTTTTATTTTACTTCACCTCCTCAAGGCCGAGAAGGCCACTACAGACGAGGAGGCTACTTATTTTGTGGCTATAACCCTCTCTCAACTCTATAACTCCGAAACACGAACCTTGACGAACAAGGCCGCTGCGCTGAGAAACGAGTTGAGCGCGGTACTACCAGGGACGTGGTGGGGATCGAACTCGGAACCACTCGTTTATGAAGCGAGCGCTCTACCACTACACCACTACAGCATTATGCAAATATGCTGAATAAACAAATGTAAACTTAAACTAAAATAAAAATTAAGCAAAGTATAATCTGGAAAAAGAAATAAAAACTAAAAAAAATAATACAAAACTAAATTTAAAAAATAAAATCTTAGTTTTCATATTTTTAGTTGTTAACTTTTGTTACTAGTGTTGACTATTGTATTTCGTTACTAGTGCTAACTTGCGTTAACTATTTTTAGTATTTAGCTGTCTTTTTTAGTATTGAGTTATTTTTTGCTGAAATTATTGCGCTTTTATTTTTAATTCTATTATGGTGTTGCTCTTTATTTATTTTTTGGTTTAAACTAGTAATTGTGCTTTTGAGATTGCTTTTGTGCTTTATTTGTTTAACTAAGTTCATTTTTGCTATCTTTAGATTCTTTAGAAAAGATTATTAGTACAAAATATTTATTTTAATAATTTTATCTATTAGGTTGAAGATTGCAATAAACTCAATTATATTCTTTTTGTGTTTTGTTTTGAGTGTTGGTTTTATATTGTTTTAAAGTAACTCATAGTCTTTATTAAAAATTTTTGATCACATTAGTAAGTAATAAAAATGCTAATGATTTGTAGGAAATATATTTTTGATAGTTGTTAACTGGAATTACTTATTTTACATTAGATTATCTGAATATATATTATTATAACTTCTATATTATCATAACTATATATTATATCTTATTTATTACTATAACTATATATTATAACTTATATATTATAACTATATATTATAAATTTTTAAAAAAAAGCAGTAAACGTTTTTTTTTGTTTTAATTGTATTTCTTTTCTGATTTTGAGATCCTTTGCTAACTGCTATTAATGGTAGTTATATATTACAACTTTTATTAATAAAACTAAGTTTGAAGATGTTTTTTTTCTAAACTGTCCTGTTTCTATACTAATTTTTAGTACAACCTGTGCCTGACAATCCTGGTGAGGATTATATTATACTTTTCAAAAGTATTACAAGACACCTAAAATTTCTTTTCCATTATTGATCAAGGTTCTTTTTATTTTTATATAATTTTCAAATAAAAAAATAAAAGTTTTATTGATTATTAAGTTTTACTGATTAAGTTTATTCTTCAGTACATACATCATATTTTCTAAAATTGACTAAAAGTAAAATCAGTCGAAATATGGGAATAATTTATTTTCCTGAAATATGTCATAAAATTAATATAGTAACTTATTTTTGCTTTCTATTTTTTAACATCATATCATTCAAATGTTATTGGAGCCTTTAATTATTTGCTATATATCAAAGGCTTTACAATCATAATTACAATGTGATGATATTTTGATTTTGGAACTGAACAACTTAATTTTGTCCCAGGGCCTCAAGCCAGCTTGAAATGGCCCTGTATGAAAATGTGTATGAAAATCAAAATCAGCGAGTAAATAAAAGAAAAAAAAAATTACACAAATGATAGTTTATAAGTATAAATTTTTTAATATCTTTATTTTGTAGTTATTAAGGTGCTCCCAGAAGTCCTAATGGTCTTATAACAGAGCACCGGGAAGAGCATAAATAATGCTAATGAATTAAATATAAATAATAAGTAGAAAATATGCTCTGAATTAGATAAAACTTTAAGAGAGTAAACAAAAAAATAGGTAATAGTTATAATTATAGATGTCATACTTCCTAAAATAGCCATTTACAATGTACACTGCCATTGGCAAATAATAGGAAAAATTTAGCAAGTTCTTTTAGGATAATGTTTTGCATTTGTTAACCAACACTTGTAAGGGTTTGCTGTCCAATTTAAGCAAACTGTTTTGGAATTATTCTTTTTCACATTTTCATGTGTGCATTTTTTCTGCAGAGATTAGTTTGACCGTTTATATTTCTTTTTCTTACAAAGTAGTGCTGAATCATCACTGGTGCTACTAGTCACTGAAGATGGTTCACTGGTGTCAAGCAGCTACTAGTCACTGAAGATGGTTCACTGGTGTCAGCTTTCACTGAGATTTATTGCATCGTTTTATTGCAACCATATAATTCTCATTAAAGTTAAATCATTTTTTAAGTTCAGGTTGTAGTGAAGATCTGTCTATACCAACTACTGAAATTACCTCTGAAATGCAAATATCAGAGCTGGTTATTTTTGTAATCTTTTTAATTAGTTTGAAGAGTATATGTTTATATATAACTATAGTTGAATCAAATTGATGTAATAGTCAACAAATAATGTATGCTGTTCATAAATTAAAAAAAACGCCCACAATGTATTTAGCATATTGTGGGTATTCTGGCAAAAAAAGTTAACTCAAAAATTTATGTTTAGAAAAATCATTTAAGTTTTCTTCCAATTTGAAACTTTTATAATCTTATTAAATTGGATTTGGTGTAGACATTTAAATACACCATAATGTTAACTGTTTATATAAGAAAATATTTAAAGCTCTTATTTTTTTAAATCTAAAAGCTTAGCATTAAATGTATTTTTATAACCAGAGAAAACTTGCATTAAATGTATTTTTATAACTAGATATAAGATAATGATTAGATATTTAGATATAAGATAATGTTTTATTTGCCAATTTTTAGAGCATTGTAAACTTTACAATACTAAATAATTTATTAAAATCAATTTTAGACTTAACATCATTTGCCAGTATAGCCACGATACGCACTTTAATGAACCAGATCGAAACCCTCAAAATAAAAAAGTGTCAAATATAAGGCAGCCAAATATTTGGTGCTTTGGCTGAGTCTCTAGCTGAGTATTTGTTATTCGTCAAAAACCACTATTTGTGACACCTCCAGTTATAATAGAACATACTTTGGTTTTTAAACAACAACAAAAAAAAAGATTGGAAAGTTAAATTGAATGAAAGAATAAAGATTTTCACTCGACTTAATTGACTTTTAGTCGATTAGTAGGAAGTCAATAGTCAATTAAACCAATTATTCTTTTTTTCTTAGTCAACTAATTTTGACTTTCGACTTTTAGTTGATTTAGTCAAAGTCGATAACAACACTAATTTATTAATAGTTTCAAATCAATAATTTTATTTTCATTCCGTTACCAAAATGCCAATATACAAAAGCGCTTAATGCACTGATATCTGTATTTAAACGCATTGCCGGATAAACCATAATCAAGCCTAAAGGCAAAATTATTAGATTTATTGAAAATATTTTGGAGAATTTTTTAAGTAAATTTTATATAACAAATTTATGAAAAGATGATTTTTTTAATTTTAAAATTGGTTTTCAGCAAAAACAAAATTTTCTTTATCATTAATTTTTTGAATTAATCATAGAATGAATGCCAATTAGAAATGATTAACTAGTTTATGGTTATGCAAAAATTTTGTAAAAATCAAAATGTTAAAAAAAATGATGATAGTTTTTATTTATTATTTGACTTTTAAGAAATTTAACCATAAAAAATTGCCTTTGTATTTAAACAAAAATAAACATAAGACAAATGTTTTAAGAAAAAAATAGTATAAATTTAAACATGATTAAATTTTTAAAAATAAGGAAATTTTTTTTTTAACAACATATTTAAGTTTTATTTATAACTTTTTTTATAACAATTTTGTTTAATTAAAGATATTTTAAAATATTTTAGAAAGATAAAGACTTACAATGATTTTTAATGTGGTTTCAAACTAAATTTAATTCAATGAGGGACTTTGAAATGCGCGACTGATGTTTAACAATGTAACAATGTAACTTTTACCAATGTAAATATGTTTATTTAGCAAAGTTACATTTACCTGCGTTATGCTTTTCCGTTATATCAACTATAAGTTAGCTTTGCAAATGGGGTTTGCAGCAGAAATTCCATTTTTATTGGAAGAGGTGGTTTTAAACCAAAAAAATTACCGCCAACTACATTGAAGGCAGATGTTTTCATTAAAAAAATGCACAAGGTACTTTCTACAAAAAAAAAAACAGTAATGAAAAAACAAAAAAGAGCTGAATATGTTAACAACAAATGTCGCCATAATGGAAACTAGCAGAGGATCATTTAATGCAGAATCTTGTAATGAGTAGATGTTGGTTATGCATCACCAGTGGGTTACATTTAGGAACCTTTTAGAGGATTTGGTCATTGTAACAGACAATGCTCTAAATGATTATGTAAGACAATGTCACGCTTGTTTGGAAAAGGTGTTTAAAAATTCTCCAGCTCAGTTGTAACATTAAGGACCCAACAGTCCAATAGTGCAGGGTGTTAACCAGGAATAAATTTGATACAGCCTTTTGACAAAAATGGGAATTTGTCAAAAAAATTCCCAACCCTACCCCTCTTCCCCTGATATTAAAAATGTGTTCCGGAAATATGTGTGGGACTTTTTTCTTATATTATTTCTTCTTTTACTCCACTGTAGCGCTGCATACATTGATTATTTTAAAATAAAATAATGCCTGTATCAACACAAAATTAGACATA